GTAAAACCCGTACTGATAGGTGCAAAAGCATTTATACACGCAGCAAAAGAAGGATCAACTTTTGCTATTTATGCTGCACCTATCTCTGAAAACGTAAAGACTTCAAGTGGCATTTCAAGTCAATATCAAGAGTATCAAGACGTTTTTGAGAAAAAGAATGCAGATATTCTTCCTGAGCATCGCCCATATGATTGTTCAATCGACCTCAAGGAAGGAACTCAGCCACCATTTGGACCAATTTACAGTTTATCGCAAGATGAGATGGCTGAACTCAAGACATATATTGACGAGAATTTAGCGAAGAATTTCATACGCCATTCAAAATCTCCAGCAGGAGCTCCAATTCTATTCGTAAAGAAAAAAGATGGATCTTTACGAATGTGTGTTGATTATCGAGGACTCAACAAGATCACAATCAAGAACAGGTATCCATTACCTTTGATATCAGGACTCCTTGACTAGTTGAATCAAGCTAAGATCTATACAAAAATAGATCTAAGAGGAGCATATAATCTAGTACGGATCAAAGAAGGAGATGAATGGAAGACTGCGTTTCGAACCAGGTATGGACATTTCGAATATAATGTCATGCCCTTTGGACTCACAAATGCACCAGCTGCTTTTCAATATCTCATGAATGATGTATTTCGTGAATTCTTAGACAATTTTGTCGTCTGCTATCTAGACGATATCCTGATCTATTCTAAGAACGTTGAAGAACATGAAATACATGTTCGTCAAGTATTACAAAAACTTAGAGATGCAGGATTGTATGCCAAGATGGAAAAGTGTGTATTTCACACTACTTAAGTTGACTTTTTAGGGTACATCATTTCAAATGATGGTCTCATGATGGATTCTAAGAAAGTCCAAACAATCATGGATTGGAAGATTCCAAGGACAGTAAGAGATGTCCAATGTTTCTTGGGATTTGCCAATTACTATCGGATCTTCATCAAAGATTTCTCACGAGTTGCAGCTCCACTTACACGCTTGACTAGTAAAGATAAATTCCAATGGAATCAAGAAGCGGAAGCAGCATTTGAAGCCTTGAAGACATCGTTTGTCTCTGCACCAGTCTTATATCGTGTTGACTTTTCCAAGGCATTTTTTATGGAAACAGATGCATCAGATTTTGCCTTAGGTGCAGTTTTATCACAAATGGGATCTGATGACAAACTTCATCCGATAGCTTTTCATTCAAAAAAATTTTCAGCAGTCGAGATCAATTATGAGATCCACGATAAAGAACTTCTTGCGATCGTGGATTCCTTTCAAGAATGGCATCATTATCTAGAAGGCGCTTCTAGTCCAGTCACTGTGTATACAGATCACAAGAACCTCGAGTATTTCATGTCAGCACGCGTGTTGAATCGGCGTCAAGCTCGTTGGAGTTATCTTTCTCAAGATTCGACTTCATTATCACTTATCGGCCAGGAAAACAACAAGGTTTGTCTGATGCCCTATCTAGACGTTCTTATTTTGCACCAAAAGAAGGAGATGCAGCTTTTGAGCAACAAAAAACGGTCCTCTTGAAACCGGAGCAATTTCATCTCCGAGCAATGAAATCAACATTGACGGTTGATTCAACTTTTCTCAAGCAAATCCAGTCGAGTATGTCCTCAGACCCTCTTGTTTATGATATCGAGAATAATTCTTCCAAGTCTCATGATCCTTCTAAGTTCGAGTTCAAAAATAATCTATTATATTTTGAAAGACGCCTATATGTTCCAGAAGGAGAAGCACGTTTACGTATTCTTCAAGCACGTCATGACTTTCCAGCAGCAGGGCACTTTGGATATAATAAGACTTTGGAACTCATATCAAGAGATTTATGGTGGCCACAAATGTGGAAGTCAGTCAAAGACTTTGTACAATCATGTGATATTTGTTCAAGATCAAAAATTCCTCGTCATCGACCTTATGGACTTCTTCAGCCATTACCTATCTCAGAACAACCATGGTCTTTTGTTTCTATGGATTTCATCACAGATCTTCCAAGCTCAAGATCTTATGATTCTATATTTGTGATAGTAGATCGTTTCACCAAGATGGCTCATTTTGTGCCATGTACAAAATCTATCACAGGTGAAGAAACAGCTAAGCTTTTCATTGATAATATCTATCGCTATCATGGATTACCTAAAGATATCATATCAGATAGGGGAACTCAATTTGTGTCAAGATTTTGGAGGACCCTTTTCAAGATTTTAAAAGTGGACATAAAGCTATCTTCGGCTTTTCATCCTCAAACTGATGGACAAACAGAGCGCGTAAACCAAGTCTTGGAGCAATATTTAAGGTGTACTATCAACTATCAACAAGATGATTGGACAACCTTTCTGCCATTGGCAGAGTTTGCTTATAATAATACTGTACATTCTTCCACGCAACAAACACCTTTCTTTGCCAATTATGGCTATCATCCACGACTTGATACTTTTGATTTTTCAAAAGTTGATAATCCTGCAGCAGAAGATATGGCAAATCGGTTGTCAGAGTTACATGCAATAATGAAGACGCAATTGAAGGAAGCTCAAGAACGACAAAAAATAAACGCAGATCTATATCGTAAGGAGCAACCACAAATCAACGTGGGTGATAAGGTATGGCTACTTCGTCGCAATATCAAGACTACTCGACCTTGTGACAAGTTGGACTATCGTAGGCTTGGCCCCTTTTCTGTTTCTGAACAGATCAACTCAGTGGCATATCGGTTACATCTACCGAAGTCAATGAAGATCCATCCTATATTCCATGTGTCTCTTCTTGAACCATATAAGACAGTGGATATACAAGGAAGAAGACAAATGCCACCGACTTCTATAGAAGTAGATAATAATGAAGAATTTGAGGTGGAAGAGATATTAGACTCAAGGCGGCGCCGAAATAAGCTGGAATATCTTGTTCATTGGCGCGGATATGATATTAGTGAACGCACATGGGAGCCATCTAGGAATCTAGCAAATGCATCAGCTAAAGTCAAAGTTTTTCATCAACGACATCCACCAAAACCAAGATGAAAATCTCTCTTATAAAAGAGACAAGATTGAGGCAAGATAACATTCAATTTCCTATCCTTGTTTGTAACTTCTTTGCATTTGTGACGCTAATTAGATGGAGAGCCAACAACCAGCGGATTCAACTCAAAAACCTTCATTTGCTGACCTGCCGGACGAGACATTACGATTGTCACAACCTTCAAGACGACGCAATTGAGATGAAGATCTTCAAGAACGACATGTTCTTCCTCGAATAGATGGTGAGATACAACGCGTTTGGTATCACGATTTGGGAAGGGACTCTCGATGTTTGGTGATTTTGTTAGAGGTAGCAACAACTCCTGATGGTGTTCCGAATATTCTATTCGAAGGAAGTTATGAAGGCCTCAACAATGATCAAATAACTGGGTGGTCTTCCCGCACTGGTATGGGACACTACCGATGGTTGAGAGGCCCTATCAATCATCTTCGAAGAGAACAGAGATCAGAGTATGTGGCGAATACAATTCGTCGCATCATAGATTTCCTCAACATATGATGACCGCTCCTCATGGAACTCGTCTTTAGAAGGGGGGGTAATGTCACGGCCATAATCATGTAAGCTAATAATTACATATAGAAATAGGTAGAAGTAAGTAAAAGTAGATAAAAGTAAGTTAATTCTATAATATTTAATATAGAAGCTTCCTAGAAACTTCCTAGACGCTGCTTTGACTTCATAGGTGTCTTTAATTGACTTTTTGGATTAGAAACGTGGTCAACAAGTTGGCCATGTGCCACACATGTTGTTAGCTTGAAGATCAAGCTAACTATGTGGCCCACACGTAGAAAAACTTGCCTTGTAAGTCAAGGCATGTGTCCTACAAAGTCAACACATATTGGAGGTCCTATAGAACGTCGCCACGTAGCTCCTAATTAGATAGTATATATAGAGACAAGAGTGAAGGCTTCTTCACTCTTGTCAACTCCTTTCTTGCTTCTAGTCTAGTTTCAAGGGTCTCTAGTTTTCTTGTCTTTTGGCAATAGCCATTCCAGTTTCTATTTCAATATATATACTTGTTTATATATATTTTGTTACCTCTCTTTGAGTGAAGGCTCGCTTGTCTGAATTGTTTTTCATCGAGTTCTTGTCCTTGACAGGTTAAGATTACTAAGAAGAGTGTTTTAAGCACTTTTTAATTGAAATTTAGATTATATTCTCCTCGCATGGATGAAACCTATTAGGGTTTCTTAACTACTTGTGAAACATAATCTCACCTTCCACAGCTAAATGCCCAGTGCATTCTTGAGCAAAACAACACGTAATACGACAACGATCATGAAGTAGCTCTAGAGGCCCGACTCGTTTGGGGTTTTACGGACATTTTACTTGGCAAGTCACCAATGGGTGCCACTTGTATTAAAAGAACCTTCCAAATCGCAGATGTGTCTTTGTTGCTTCGCCTTAATTTCATTCTGCTTGTCAGCTTCAACTGGTTGAATTGATTGAATTGAGTCTAGTGTAAGATAGTGACAAAGAATTGGACGCTATTTTGAACAGTTCTGGAACGGTCTCGTGCTTGGAAGGTGTACATGTATTAATGGTTTTGATGTGCATGAACCAAGAATGGAGACCCCTCAACAAGATATGTACATCAATATGGATAAGTACATCAAAAAGAAAAATCTTGTAAAAAATGGGTTCATATGGTTTATATATATGATCTTAAATTAAAAAGTAAATGAAAATTTATTTCAATATTTTATTTTAATACTAATTTTAGAAGGAAAGATGCACATGGCCTCTACAAAGAATAAAGTATGTAGTATCGTTTTGGCACCACGATCCAAGATTCCAAGGATCCCTCCCTCGAAAAGGGAAGAGAAGACTTGCTGATTTCCATGCATGGATGTAAAAATAAAGGGAATGTCAGAATTCCTCACTGTCTGCCAGATTTTAGTTGTGTCACGATGCATCAGAACCTTACGGCCAACCCTTCGCGGCTGTTTCTGGTTGAATTCTTGGCTCGACTGTCTTAATTTCTGATTTGAGGTTTTTGTGTCAGATCAGTAATTAGGCTTTGTACGGTTTGACACCCCGATTTTAGAACTCGGTGCATTACATTCTTGGCTTTGGGTGTGCCACTCTCGGATGGCGAGGGTTTTCTCTTCTTCCTTGTGCTAGGGTTTCAGTTTTTCCATGCGGTAGTGTTTATTTTGCTCCTTCCAAGTCTGCTGTTTCGTTTCGTTAGGTAGCTTCGTTGATGGGAGTGATTGACAAGAATGATCCTGGCAGAGGTAGGGAACCTTTCTCACGACGGACAGTTCCATCGCTTGACCTCAGCTTGAGCGCTCTCTTCTGTTCTCTTACCACCCTTGCCTTCCGCCTACCGGTAAGTTACTCTGTCTCCGTTGAGCTCTTCAGTCATCCACAAGTATCGTATTGTTGTCCAGTTTCTTTTCCTCTTGTAATTCCAGGGCCGGTTTGCTTTTCCGGGTGTCGTTGATTTCTTGGCCGGGGTCAGCCGCCCCTCCATGTTTCGTGTTTCTGCGGTAAATTTCGAGTCTTTATGGTGAATGTCAGGGTGATAATTTATGTTGTTGGATTATTAGTTGTGAGGCATGATTCGGGAGAGTTTAGAAGTGGCTGTCGTTTAGGGTTTAGGGTTTAGAGTTTTGATTGTGGTTTGGCAGCTGATTTTACTCTTTCTGCTTGTTGTCTCTGTCGGGGTTTGTTTTGGCTGAGCGGAGTTTTGTATGCATTTCGAGCACTGCTCGCGTTTGCGTGTGACAGCGTTCTAATGAATTGCTGCTGAGGTTGCACGTTACAGGAGGTGGTCACGTAGGCAGCATAGGCGTGCTGAAAGGGTTATGCGCATTTCAAGACAATGGATACCGAAATTGAAGAGGTGAAGCAAGGGATCAGGAAAGTAGAGCAATAGATCGATGCTGTGGAAGCACAACTGACGAAGGCTGTCACAGAGGCCGATGTCGCCTACTGGCGGAAAAGGGAGGAGCAACTGTGGAAAGAGAAGGAGCAACTGCGGAAAGAGATGGAGCAACTGCGGGAAAAGAAACTGCTGCTACTCAAAGCTGATATTTCAGGCGAAATCACTTGTCCTAACACTTATTGCATTATCCACTTGATTATATCCACTTCTTCCCTTTGGCTAGGGTTCCTATTAGTATCTCGTCCGGTTCATATTTTTGGGCGAGGGTTTAGTTCATGGTTATGGAATTAGGGTTGGCATAGGGGTAGCAGCAGTTCCTTAACCAATAACTTGGTAGCTTAATCAATACCTTAAGCCCTGAAGTATGCATTCTTACAAGCTCCTGCTCCTGGTATGTTTTTTTTCAGCAGAACAATTAGGTTTTCTTGTGATGGCTTGTTCGATGCTTTATTCCACGACTGATAAGGTCTGTCGTTTTCAAGGTTTCTGAATCTTGTGGATCTTTTGAATCTCATTGGGTAAGAAATGTTGTTCTTTGTCTTACTGATTCGCTCTCCAGTGCTCTCTAGTTTTTGCTCAATGCCAGCAGTTATTGTCCCCCACCCCCTTGTCCTCTTCTTCTTCTGGTACTTCTTGGTCATGTAGGTTATGCAAGTATACAGGGAAGTACACATTCCAATTTTATTCGATGTTTGTCATTCAGAGACACTTGCATGTATTGGATGGTCTGGCACCATTGTTGAATTGGCTGCGTTGCACTGTTCATACTTTGCGCCTTAAGGTCTGATTGTTTTTTCACAGGTGAGAAAGCCGTTGATTTATGCTTTTTGTAAACAAGTACGTTCCAATTTTTTCCTCCAGGTTAACCTATTAAGGGTTGTAGACGCGTCTGCATGGCACCTATTAATTAGTTCTCTAACTTATGGGTAACTGGTGAAGGTTTTCTTTATGCAGCCACCCTCCCTCCCTCCCTCTGTTTGAACTCATGGTACTTAACCTCAGCCGATTATTAACCAATAAAGGGTTACTGCTGGCTGGTATTTAACACACTCCCCCAACTCACCTGACTTCGGCCTTCTCTTGCTGCCACGTTACGTCTCGGTAGCTGTGCCTTAATGCTGTTCCAGCTATATATACCAAGCCACCACCCTTTCTTCTTCCCTGTGGTTACTGGACGCGTTGAGGTGGTCGGTGTGGAACTCTATACCTTGGGGGTTTTCGTTTCTGGAGGGGACACTACTCTTTCACAATGGCTACATAGGCTACAATGGCATTTCCGGTTTCTCACCGACGCTACTTTCAGTGGAAGAGCTATCTGATTAAAGCAGACAACTTTATTTGTCATGACCCTGCACGAGGCGTCTGCTGGAATTTGGATGACCACCTTGGGATTGTGTTAAGGCCTCCAGCTACAGGCTCTACAGAAAGTTCTTATCATGCTTATTGGGATTGTCTTGTTACTGAGCCAATATCCCTGTTCTCTTTGGAAACACTTGTCTTTGATAGAGACACCTCAAGGTTTAGTTCATTCGAGAACAAGCGCCCAGACAAACTTGGGATGGTTTCCATACTCGTACTTTGGCGTGGCGAGGAGAAGGGGCCAGATACTGAAGGTGATCCCAAACGAGAATTGGTCAGGAAGCTGATCTGGACGTATGGAAACCTGCCCTATCTCCTGTGTTATTATGCCAACGCAGCGATCGTTACTTACTGTGCACTAGTGCATGATGCTAAGCGATGTAAGACTGAGGTGGTGGATTTGATCACTGTCAATCTATCTGTTGTAGAGGACAGGTTGCTGGCATCGTTGATAGGCTTCAACATCAGCAAGCTGCTAATGCGCCTGTCTGAAGCTGGAATCGTGCTGGGAGTTGAGTCTGACTTTTACGATTATCGCACTGACGGAAAAACTGTTTTCGTGGGGACTGGTGTTGACAAGATCTACAGAGATAAGCGTACCTTTGAGAAGGTGTACCAAATATATGAGAGCATCAAGGATTGCCCCAATGCAGAGCAGGTGCAGAAAATTAATGCAGCCGATCGTAGATTCCGAATGATACCCCGGTGTCTTGTGAAAAGACGGGCGAGACCTGAAGATGAACTTTTGAAAGCATTGATCAATGTTGCAGAAGCACTGGTCTGGTTGCATGGAAAAAATCTAATGCATCGAGATATAACTTGGCGGAATGTTCTCAGAAACACTTCAGGTACCAACTGGGTTTTAATTGATTTTGATGAGACTGCTGCTACTCCCTGTGGCCACGCTCACGGACTGTGTGTTGAAGCTCACGCCCCTGAGATGAGCAGAGGTCGTCATGACTCGAGTGTAGACATATGGGGCATTGGGCATTTGATCAGGAGTAGCGGGATAAAAGGTTTGTCAGCGGGTGTTCGAGAGTTGCAAAAGGATTGCTTGCAGACTGACGCTTCCAGAAGACCAAATGCAGAAACTTGCTTGGAGAGATTAAAATGTCTCCGTGGAATGACGAACATGAACTTACACATGGACTTCGAAAGCTGTTGAACCTGATGTGAGGGATACTGTGATTCTGGCATTAAGTTGTTGAAGCAGATAAGGATGACATATCATGTGGGAATGAGATCTTTTTGCAAGAATCCTACGTAGAGCCGCATCCGGCATTGTTGGCTGAAGGCGCCTACAGTGCTCCATCTTCTCAAGTTTTATGTAACTTTTGAGAAAATAGCTCCAGAGGAATGAAGTCTGAAAACTCCGCAATTCTGATCATTACCAAGGGAATTGCTTCGTTAAAACAAACCTCTCGTGCTTCAGATTGGAAAAGTAGGATGTGCCCACGCACAACCGAAGAGGGTTTGTTTTTGACATCTTTTTTGGCAGGTTTCCGACATTTTATTATAGTTTTTGGGAAATTCTCTGACATATGACTGTCGAAATTTGGAAGGGTTCCGCATGCTTCGGTTTTCGACAATTTTTTCGACTTACTAGTGTCTAAATCAATGTCGAACTAATTTTCCGACACTTCAATGTCGAAAACTTCATCTATAATTTGTCAATGTTGGAAAATCTGTCAAAACGAAGTAAACAAAGTGGATGTTCCAAAAGGTGTCGACTTAATTCTGTCAAAACAAGGGTCCAGAACCTCGTACTGCAAAACAAGTTGAAAAACGAATCAGAAATACTGGCAAGTAATAAACCCAACGCAGTAATGAACTTCATGTTGTAAACTATGCTGAATATGACGTCGATACACGCGTCAATATATTTATGTCACTGATCCAATAACGCATTGGACGTAAGAGTCCTCCGAAGCATACGCCCCCTTCCTATCAGGAAGGTTGTGGTGGCTTGCAAACGAGGGTTTCAACCACAGAAAGGTGGCATCCCACTTGCCAAGTGAGTTATTTATAGTGGTGTTGAGGTGGTGTAGTGGTATAAATGTATTTAGTGGTGGAAGTATGGACATACTAAACTAATCTACTAATAAGTGATTATCGTGCATCTACAATTGATGTAAATATTTTCATCCATAATATTGTAGATATTTACCTCCATTGTTTGAAATATCTTGATTTGCAACATGGCCGTGTGAATTCTAATAAGATTTTTTGATTGCATGGTAGTTAGTTCATTGTTAGTGTTTTGCAGCCTACCTCTTGGTACAAAAGGTGTTGAAGTACAATAGGAGTACAAACAAGATGCACAAATACATACAATAGATAAAGTATGCAAACAATGCTTGGAGTGAGAGAGATCATCCTACTCCTCACTTTATTCGCATCACAAAATTCCTTCAATATAATGTCTTTGCCTCTAAGACACAATTTGAAGTCTAAAGTATCCTTCAAATACCTCATGATGCATTTCAACCATCCAATGAGATGGACCAGCTCTAGATATGAATTGCCTTAGCACATCCATCAAAAATGCAAGATCTGCCCTTATACCCACCATTGCATACATGAATGATCCTTTTGCCGTCTTGTATGGAATGCCTTCCATTTCTTCTTGAATCTCTTCATACTCTCCCTTGAAAAGCTAAAACAACTTGGAATTTACATCAAATGGAGTTTCAATGGATTTGCACTCTTCTATGTTGAAACCCTTGAGTTCTTCTTCAAAGTATTTCTTTTAACTTATGATAATGGTGCGAGAAAATCTATTCCTTTCAATTTCAACTCCAAGCCAAAAGTATAATTTGCCAAAATCACTCAAACTTCTCCTCAAACTTAAACTTAAACCACTTGAAGTTGGTAACATTGCTTGCCAAGATGATCAAATCATCTATCTAAATGATGACTATCAGTAAATACTCATCCATTTAATTGATGTATAAAGAGTGATCTGCTTGACTTTTAGAAAAGCCTTCATTGATGAAAAACAAATCAATTCATTGATACCATGCTTGTGGTGATTGCTTGAGCCATATAATGATTTGTTGAGCTTATATATAAGATGTTCCTTACTCTCTTGGACAAATCCCTCAGGTTGCTACATGTGAATGTCATCCTTCAATTTTTTATTGAAAAATGTAGTATTTGATGCATTTCTAAATCTATGATTGCTCCAATTGTAAGCATGTATTTAATGATGATGAATTTAACAACAAAAATAGAAGTCTCATTGAAATCAACACCGATAACTTGAGAATACCTCTTTCCAATTAACATTACCTCATACTTTATAACTTAGCACATTACATCCTTCTTAATACAAAACACTCACTTACATCCAATACTCTTATGATCCTTTAGAAGAAGAGTCAAATTCAAAGTTCCATTCGACATAAGTGAGCTATATTCTTCTTGCATGGCTACATCTTACTTGCTTGCATACTCTGATTGCATGGCTTTACACAAACTCAAAAGATCATTAAGAAATGCTATTTTAATACGTTCTACATCATGTTGGGGCAAAATGTGGATCTTCTACCTCTCTTTAAGAGCTAATGCTCTCTTAAAAGATATCTATATTCTATTAATAGTTATCTTTTGCCAATAGCATTTAGAATTAGTAGATTTGTAACTTGCACATCTCTCACTTATTATTTAGCATCTTCAATGTCTTTGTCATCACAAAATGAAGGTGATTTGGAAGATTCGTCTACCACAATATCCATTAAAGCCTCATTTCTCCTATTTGGACATATTTACAAATCATTGCCAACATTAATACTATTATCTATAAACACCACATTCATATTTCTCATGATCTTCTTGGTTTCAATACACATCAACCTATATGCTTTGGTGTCTTCTTAATAACCAAGAAACAAGCATTTGATATCTTTTGCATCAAATTTACCTCTCTTTTTATCCGACACCATAGCATATGCAATACATCCAAACATACGCATGTATGCAATGCAAGGCTTCATTCTATTCCATGCTTCTTCTGATGTAATGGATTACAAAGCTCTTATTGGACATCAATTGCGTGTATATACCACATTAGCCACCATTATTGTCCAAAATAAATTTTTAAGGTATTGAGCATGAATCATGCTCATTGCCATTTCTATAATGGTGCGGTTTGCATGCTCCGCCATTCCATTTTGTTGAAGCCTATATAAAGTGGATGTTTGCTTTTCAATATTGTGGTCTTTTAAGAAGTGTTGAAGTCCTTTGAAAATGTATTCTCCACTATTGTCGAATTGAATCTCCTCAATCTTGTGCTTTGATTATGTTTCTATAAGAGTCTTAAATTCTTTGAACTTTTTAAATACTTCTTTTTTGGACTTCAATATATATACTCATATTTTTCTAATAAAATCATCAATGAAGGTTATAAAGTACCTTGCACCACTTATGGATATGGTTCTCATTGAGCCACATACATTCGAATGCATAATCTCCAAAGGCTTTGTTGTATGCCTCCTTCCACTTGGAAAGCCTATCTTATGTTGTTTGTCCTCAATACAACCTTCATAAATGAATGATGATGGTAGATAAAAAAATTTTCCAAGGTTCATACCACTTACCATGTTTTGAAATATATGAACACTCTTTACATTCAAATACCTAAACCAACATTGCCAAAGTTCCAATATATTTTGTTATATAGATGATTATGCCACATTGGTTACATCTGCTCTATACACCTTGGCAAAGGTTATTTGATATAAATTGCCTTCACGTTGTACCATTGCAATCACTTCTCCATTTAATGTTTTTATAATACATTCTTTAATTTTAAATTGCACCTTCAATCTACTAGATAAGAACTTACTTAGCAAGAGCAAGTTTGTTTATAATTTTGATATATAGAGAATATTCTTTATTCTAATCTTTTTGGTTTTGTTCTTCACTACCATCTCAAAAACAATGGAGCCCATTCCAATGGCCTCCAGAATGCTATCATCCAAATGCACATTTTGTAGAGCAATTACTTTGTATGTATCAAATACTGTCCTTTGTGAAGTCATGTGCTTTATGACTTCAAAATCCATGATCAACTTGTATATGGTCTTGAAATGTACTCCATCTTAGATTACAAATGCATAGTTATCATCCTCTTTGGCATTGTTGACATTCTTCTTTTATTTACTCTTGGCTTTGAAGCAAAACTATGCAATGTGGTCCAATTTACTACAATAGCAGTAAGTCTTGGTGTCTTTGCATATTGATGGATTGTTGTCTTTGCCTTGATGTGATACCATTACTGCATTATTACCTTGAGGCTCTTTTTTCCTTCCTCCTAAACACTTCATGCATCAATCATTTAGTATTTGACATTACAACTATTTGAATATGTAATTCTAATTTCCATTTAGATTCACTCTTTTGAACAAATAAAGGGATTAAAATTGTCACTTTTTTGAGAATAGAAGGAATTATATGGGAGCTTTTGGAGATCAAGAGAGATATGAGCTATTAGAATTTGGAAAAAATTTTCCTCAAAGATAAATAAGATTTAAAGTATTTTTCTATATATTGGATGTTTTTATGACTCAAGACTTAAATATTTGATCTAATTGTTTATATAGGAATAATTTTATATAGAAATTTGGAATTTTTCTTATTTTGAAACTTGATTGAACAATTAATGATAACCAAAAGTCCAACGCTTTCTTGAGGTAAATTCTTTCTACTTCAATAGCGCAAGCTTACATTAGCCAATTGAAGATATAAAGGCTTGGCTATATTAATAAGATTAAGATTTATTTTTTATTAAAAAACTTCTTTTTTTAGAAAATATTATTTAGATTAGTACTTCTACATGTATGGAAATCTTAAAGCTTATCTCTATCTAATATAGTGAATTATAAGCCATTTTCTAAAATTTTTAAGATTCCATATATAACTTATCTATTTTATATTGAAGCAAGTTTCAATAAAATCTATAATTAGATAATATATTTAGTTAATTACCTATGCATAGCGGCCACACTTTTAGTCACTTGATCATTAAAAGAAATCCATGTTATCTTTTGCAAACCCATTTTTGGGCCTAAACACCCCTTGCCTTAATTGCAAGTACTATTTACTTAAGAGAGATTCATTTTTTTATTTTCCTATTTTTTTTCTTTTAAATATTTATTTTGGATTTTTTTTTCTAAATTTGAGGTCTATAATTCTAATTTAGTCAAGGATATCCTATTTTGGACATTCACACAATGAAAAGAGGAGGTTTGACATTAATGGAAGGATTCATGGCACCCAAAAAATAGAGGCTTGTAAAACGCAATATGGATTGCTTCTAATGATTGGACCTTAATTACATAGCAAATAATGAAACAGTATGCAAGTTGATAACATTACAAAATCTTAATTATAGGGCTTTTGGATTTTGCTTCTGGCAGTTCAAATTCTCTAATATTAGGTTCTAGTGCATGGAAGTGTGTGTATGTTTCTAGTTTTTCTGCGGGGTGCTTTTTTTGTTGTTTTGTAAGGAATTTGAGTTTTAGAGGTAGTGGCCTCTATACAGAGGATACTACAGTTGATGTTGTAATAGGTATGACTAATTTTCTTCATTTTTGATACAAACGTAGCAATTGGCAATGAAAGAGGTTCAATCTTGATCCTATCTGCATCAAGTGCTCCTACCTTAAAAATAGCTACCTTCATTGCTATCAAA